AAAAAGGAATTATGAAAGGAAACAGGTATTATGATATTTAAAAAAAAAACCAAATTGACGTTTGCATTTAAGAAACAATTTTCCGATTAATGAACTTGAATAATTATCTATTGTAGACATGATGACCAATTTATTTTGAGATAAATCTATTTCCTCTTAACAAAATACTTTTATTTCCGACATAGGACAATACTATATAAAAAAAATTGTCTATAGAAAAGGGGGAAAATAATATGATTGGACAATTTGTGAGATATCATTTCCCCTACACTATTTCAGATTTTGATCTTCACGCCTCATCACAGGTTTCAAAGTATATGTTTTTATATTCAGCACACTTAAAATGTTTCAGTTACTAGTTGTTTTTTTCAAAGATTATACAGCTTTGTGATTTCTTTGGCTTTTTATATGTTAACTTACTTTATTCAGTATTTTGACTGCAATACAATAAAATTTGAAGGAAAGTTAAATCAGGTAAGTGATCTCTATTCATTTTCAATTTAAGAATAAATTAAGTAAAATCTCCAAGAAAAATTCTGACCTTCAATTATTTCTCTCGTATCTATTTAGTGGAAATCTAAGCTGTTTGTTTCTTTGTTAAAAATTCCTACTTCATAGTTTTAGTTTGATTATCAAAAAAGTAAAGAAAAGAAAGGGGATTTTATTATCTCCAAAATTTTTCGTGCTTTTCACTTATTCTCAAGTAACGTCATTCATCTTAGCAGCTACATGTATAAGTCACCTGAGAGGATTTCGAGCGAGTTGAGCAACTTGAGTATGTGAAATCCTATTTAAAATCTACCCAAAAAATCTTATTCTAAAAGAAATAATGCTGAAATAAATAAAAGTAACAAATACTCCAACACGTTTTAAATTTTTTTTGGGGGGTGTGGGTGGGGGGAAGTTACACTTGGTCAAAGTAAGAGTTAAGGAGAGGAAGGTGCTTTCAATGCCTACAAATATTCGATTTTATAGCTTTTTTTCAGGTATTTATGTTACAAATCTGGTCGGAATTTACTTTGTCAATTATGGATACGGACATTTTAGAACAACATACCTTATTTTTAGTCAGATAACAATATTTTTTTGATTGGTAGGTTGTTTAATGTCCCATCGATAATTTTTCACTCAGATGGAGACGCTATCATTTGGTGGTGGAGGGTTGCAGTTTAGACCTGTACTTGACACCTACGACTTCGAGCAGTGAAGGATATTTTTCGTGTCAGCACCTACTGCAACACGGGGCCTGGTTTTATACGGTCTCATCCGAATGACAGGTTTCCACGTCGCACAGTGGATTCGAATCTAAGGATCAACTCTTTACGCCGCGACTCTTGTCACTGCAACAATTCACTCCGCCAGGCGTGCGACCAGATAACAAAGTATGATATTATATTTTACAGCTACCAAATTCGCTTGATCTATAACCCCTACTTCACCACTACAATATAAATTCGATTCTCTATTTTGGCAAAAGTGACTTCGTGCAATAAATTTCGTATCTATACTGCTTTTTTAAGTTTGTACATAGTTAAATCAGAAGGAAGACATCATTGTACATTATACATTTATTGCATGATCGTGAGGGAAATATGAAGATTTATTCAGCCAAGAAAAAGAAATATGATATCTCTTGGCTGAATAAATCTTTATGTTTCCCGAACATTTGTTACCATTTAATTCCCACTGCTATGGGAAACGCTTTCTGTGGAAATACACAGTACAAGTTAAATTATATCCCCTGTTAAATATAAGACTATAAAACGACAAATTATATGTTTTATTCATTGTATGTTTTATTTTATCATCAATTGTATATTTACCATGTTCATTATTGGGACGAGGTTGGTAATTAGCGTTACCCCGAAATTCCTCGACATCTTACATTCCCAAGTCACGCTTTGACTGTTTACGATTGTTTTTGTTCATGTTTACGAAGTTCGTCAGCAATAAGTCCCAAATGTACTGAACAGTAATTATCCGCGCCCTAGGTTGCATGTTTCCTTTCGTCGGTCCGATCGGCATGGCAGCATATCAAAGCTTCTATGCTAGGTGGTTATAGGGACTGTAAGTCTCGTTTACTTTCACTTTCGTTTTTTAACTTCCGGGTACCTGAGCGTTCTTGGATACAATGGATTACTGTTTCGCTTAAAGTCGTAAGCATCGCAGTGGAATTATAAAACTTGTAGTTTGTTTTGATTCCCGATTGTTGCAAAGAAGAGGAGAAAATGGATTGATAGATGCAGGTAAATAGCGTTTAATTGCTTTATTTTTTCATTACATGACGTAAACACAAGCCATTCTGAGCGGTCCAAGATTAGCCAACATACTTAAGCATAAAGGGAAAATTAAATTTTAATGCTAAAATAGTCTGTATTCAAAAGGTAAGCTTATCTACAGATTGGTTTCAGAAATAAATTGCATTGATATAGCTTACAAGGGTCTATTTTGGAGTATTGGACAGTGTGCATGAGATCGGGAATGCATCGACCATGGGAATACAAAGTTGATTACCACGTCGATAACACATGATCCTTGTAGAGAAAACATTCTATTTTTTTTAAACTTAATTACTACAGTGAATAAAAATGGACAGCTCATTCTGTAGTCTACCCTGTCTACATGGTCTATCCAGAAATAAAAATAGTCACACACACTAAAAAAAAACAATCATTTTTTATTCTACAAAGAAGAAGGTATTTTTTTCATGTACACATATTAACTGCCAAGCTTCATGACGCCCTCCCCCCTTTCCAATACTCCTACAATTATGACAGATATTTTTTCTTGAAATAGGAATTTTTCTCCATATGTCATTATATATTACAGGGCTGCACAAGGTACTGAAAAAGGGACAGTGCTTTGAGTGAATGTGTTATCCATGTATCTGCAAATGAATGCATGACTACGGGTAACAGAATATTTAAGGAATAACTGTCTAATTTTTTGGTTTCATGATGTGATCAATCAAGTGGCTTGCGTGATAATTTGCATATACGCCGAAGACGTTTATGCATAAAATTATCACGCAAGCCAATCGATTGATCATCGTCATGAAACCAAAAAATCTGACAGTTATTCCTTACATATACATGCTCTTGATCCTGCAAATTCACGTGCTAAAAGTTTCGTTTCTGTCTCTATTTGTCCCGCCCCGCACGTGATATTTTTTTCACCACGCCTATCGATGAACCAGTAGATTGATGTAGAAATAAAGTATTTTTACTATTTGAAATTTTATCTCGGACAAAGACATTGGAAATGTAAATATATAGTAATAAAGATTGTTGGCTGTGCAGAATGTTTGCGCATTCGTTTCACCTTGATGTTTTCTTTCAAATGCATTCTAAAACAAGAAAAATATTACTTGTTTATTTTGGGTAATGTGAAATTGTTACCCCTTGAAAACCATTGTTCGCCTCGGTCAGCGATGGTTTTTGATGAATAACAATTTCATGTTATCCTAATAAACATGTAATATTTTTGTTATATGTACTTCTATTTGTAAATATTAATGACTGCGAAAAACATAAATATTTATCAATCAGTAAAATCAATTTAATACACTATAAATACACAAAAGGACAAATTTGTATATAATTCTCTATGATTTGGTTAATTAGTTTATATAAAGGATGTAAATGGGGCATGACATATCATCGTTAATATTCAAGAAAGTGTTCACTGTTTTTCTTGTGGATGCTCCTTTCCATCTGATGTTTTCCAGGTTTTTGTGAAAAGTTTTCTTAAAAATGGCACCATTCAACTACAAATACTATGCCGGTGGAACTGTGACATCAATCAACTGCTCATGACACTGCTAACTGCCAGAGAATTTATTTTTTTTTTGTTTCATTTGGGACAAACATTTTACACCTGCAAATTGGTACTTCATGAAATGCTTGGAGGATGCTACATGTAAAGGCTACTGAAATTCAAAGTCATATGTAGTGCAAAAGGATTGATACAAAAGTTATAAAATTATGAAGTTTTCTATTCTAACTGACGAGTGCGACTGAAGTTTTTAAGGATGCCCCGTCTGATATCATAGGTACAACTGGTCACTGTCCTTTGTTCGTTACACATGCAGACAACTCGTAGCTCCAAATGATGCTTAATTGTTTTCCTCAGATTTATAACCTGGATAGATCTCTGATGCAGTAATTTAGAGTCATGTCTTTTCACTGTCTCAAAGTACTGAAATAAAAATAATTTTGATTAAAATATATTTTTTAATTCATATCATTAAATTTTTAAGCTACTGAAATTCAAATTAATTAGCTATTGGTAAATGGAAATCTTTAATTGATGAGCAAGCCTTTGCATTGTCAGATCCTTTTCTGAAAGGGTCACTTACCTTTAACAATGTCAAGACAGGTGAGGCAACTGGCTGGTCTTCATGCTGGAAGTGTGTGTTAACTCTGTAATCTTCTTAAACAAAACCATCCAGTGATGTCCTAGGATTGCCAGATGAGCAGACATAAACCTGTATTTAAGAAAAGATTCTGTAATATGACATAGAATTTTTGCACAGCTTGACACAGAACTGATGGTAATTTAGGTGCCTGCAAAATATGCTTTAAATCTGGCATTTATTTTTTTATTAAATACAAATCAGAACAAAATTTTTCCTTTTACAGAACAAATTATTTTCATTATAAAGAATATACTGTGTTAATACATAAATACATATAACCTGTATTATTGGGTATTTTCACCCGATTTTAATTTTTAATATATTCACTCTTTCACTCTTGAAAACAATTTTGCCCTTTTAAAATTTGACGAAGCACATTTGTGTTTAAAAGATATATGCTGCCTTCTTTGAATTTGCCCCGCTTTAAATTCACCTACTTGTAATGAGGGCCGAATGAGAAAAATAAAACTTAACTGGGGCGAAAAATTCCAAGAACAAAGTACCAATACTTGCCCACCTGTTTCACTATAACTCGTCCAGCTTTACAATATTCTGTTATACCATTGCTTTCATGCGATGAACCCCAGTGGATTGGTGGTCTCTTTTCCAAATTATATGCATTTTCTAAAATGAACGAATTTGTGAAGTTATAAAATTTAGTATTACAAGTTATTAAAGACAGTAAAACAATGTTAACAACATTTATATGCAAATGAACCTCATTTAATGCAGTAGAGTGAATAGACGAATGAATGCAAAATTGTACTTATGTGTTAAAGACTATATTGTTCTTTGACATTATTGTTAGCCTAATTTTTAAATACAATTTAGTGTTATAAATGATTCAGATGCATAGAAAAATTTGTCCAATGGTGGTTTTTTTTTTTTTTTTTTTTTTTTATTTATTTTTTTTTTTTTTTACACTTTGATGTTTCTTGAGAGATATATCATATACATCGCTGACACGTTGGTTATATGCATATGTGACATTTGTGAATATTAATTAGACCCATCATTGATCAATCCTTGGTTTCTCACTAGAAAACCACTATGCTACTGTGCTTTTTTTTTTAGAAAAATACAAGGTATAAAAAAAAAAACAAGTACAAACAAGTACACAAAACTGCTTGGTTTCATAGATTTCTTTCTTCTCAGCATAGATCTATATTAATTACAACTATATCACTCTCACAAGAAATGACAATTCATTCAAGTTATGGGGGTACAATATTTGTCAGTGTCATGTTAATTAAGAAAAAAAAGCATCTACTGGATCAAGAAAAAGTGTCCAAATCATAAAGGACTTCAAAAATCTTAAATCTCTCAATAAAAAAGTCCCGAAATGCCTGAATACAGTTTAGATGAATGATGGGTGAATGTGTAAAAACCTGTGGGAGAAAAGTTAAGCACCACTGGACAAATCCTTTATAAATGATTGACAACTTATATTGAATATATTGAATACCCTTTTCACAATTGGAAACTCAGCGTTAATAATATTCCATACTTGATTGAGTTGTCACCTGATGTACCTATAATTCTTTACTATTTTTAATATGCTTTATGTGTATTATCAGAGTAAATGTAAGTCCAAGAACTTATTTTGTGACATTATTCATACCTGTATTTGAGTTGCCTTTTGAGGATACAGATTATTCAAATCGATGTACATGTAGTCTTCGGTGCTGCAGTTCTCTTGTACTTTAGCTATAAAATGAATCTTAATGTATACATTTGTGTAAGATGAAAGAATATTTCAAACACTGAAACAGACTGAAACCTTAACAGACTGAAACTTTAACCTAAAATTCCTCTATAACATGCTCTCTAAACTGAAGAATATGGTCATATTATTGCAGTCATGTGAATTTTGTTCAATGATAAATACAGAGAGAATTGGCAGAATATATAAAGAAAATCTATCCTTGGGAAATATGTTCTTTCAAACATTGAATACTTAAGACTAGACTCACTGGCACGCAACTGCTAAAATTCTGTTGATAAATGAATCGTATTCTGAACAAATTATTTACCCAAACAAAGGTGATGCAGTCACAAGATGACGTTCGTACCCATCGGGCACTTACACTATTCCTCTTTTATCAGCTGGTATAGACATCATTGTTCTCGAATTCAAGAAAAATCTGTTAATAAATTAATTGGAATGATGATTACAAAACTATTCCATTCAGGTATAATACAAGACACTTCGATTTCCCCCAAGAATACACAAGAAACAGGTGACATTCTCCGACTTGTTTACCTGTACTTCGATCGAAATTCTCCTCCTGGATGCTCGCATCCAAGCTTTAATGACACTCAATTCATCCATCGTACGTCGGAGATCCCTTCGGCTTTGTACAACTGCTTAATCTTTCCTTGTACGCTTTGTGTAAACCATAAACATGTGTAATCCAATACACATCTCCATGTGTGAGGTACCCGGAAGTTAATATTATCAAAAAATCTCGCTAGTCACGTGACGAGACGTACAGACCCTATTTTCACTTTGTCGTGACGTCACGACAATCGAGCCCGATGTCAATATAAGCGAGCGCAAATCGATCGACCAGTCAGTTTGTCAGTTGACTTTTACAACTCACATCGCCAGAATGTCTGGGAGTGAAAGTCGATAATAATTATAGTGAATTGTTCTGTGGGAGAAAATTAGTGGGAGGTGAAATAACTCTCCCACAACTATGCCCTGTTCACACGGAGAGTTTAATTCGAATTAAACGTAAGTTACTGCGAATTAAATTTGATCCGCGTTCACACGGAGAATTTAATGCGAATTAGTTTAAATCGAATTAGTTTACTGCGCATTAAAATATTTCGCATTAGCTCCGTGTGAACGCTAAGCGAAGCTAATTCGAATTAAATTTTGACGCATGCGTAAGGGCAGAATTTAGTCACTGACCACATGTCGATGGTCAAATATAGGTACTTGTGCTATTTTTGAGTGGAAAACAAAGGAAAATTATGTAAATCACTAAAATGTGCACAGACACTATGACATTTTGTCAAATGTGTACACATCTGCTCTGCACAATATGACGTGATTTGTAAATGACGTCATAATAGTCTCACTGAATAGCCTTGTTACACAAGTAGAAATAAAATTATAATTCGCATTAGTTTACTTCGCATTAGTTGTCGTGTGAACGCAATTTAATTCGCATTAGTTTAATTCGCATCATTTTACTTCGCATTAATTTACTACGAATTAAACTCTCCGTGTGAATAGGGCACTATATTTGACTTTGATACGATATTGCAAGGAACTCCAAGTATTTTGGGAAATACTTTTATACTTTTGTAAATTTATTTATAATTCCCTAAAACTTAATTCTCCCATTTGAGAATATTTTATTCCCATATCTATTTAGGATAGAAATATTTCTACGGGAGCAAGAAATAGGGATGATCATTCAAAGAGATTGTGCAAATTAAATACAACAAGCAATAATAATTTTTTTTTTACATTTTAATCCTGACTTAGAGTTATTTTGTCCAATATACAGAATTGGGAGACCCACAAGTTGCATAAGGGAGAAAACTCCTGAACGGCAACACATTCATGCAATGAATTGTTTATTATACCGAAACAAGGAAAAATTTTTAAATAAACATAAACTTTCAAATTCGGCACCACTCTCAAATTCACCTTCATTTTTCACGTAAAGTTACTGAAACCCTTTGACACAACACACTCCAATGAAACAATCAGCAATTTTGTGACGTGAGCCAGGCTATTGTGACGTCAAGTACTCTCAGGAGTTTTCGTTCAATGAACGGTAACATTTGCGGGAAAAATGCACTGGTTTTCCGAAGAGGTGGAATATGATGAAAAGCATGCTGATGACAGGGAAATATGAAGTTTTACGGAGCTGTCACGTGATAATCTAGAACCAATCAGATAATGCATTGTATAGAATAATTATAATGAGATATAATAATATCGATTATGTATATGTTGCCGAAGATCATTGTAATAAAAAAGTTTAACGACATTTAAAAAAAACAATAAAAGATTCTATTATCTATTCTAAGAATTTTTTTCTTATACCTTATATCATTACAATTTTCTAAATCTTTAAAATATAAATCTAAATTATTTATTAAATTTCTGTTAATTAAACATTCATAAAAAAAACTTAATTTCCTTCTGAATCAGTAAGAAATATAAAGAAAACAATACAGCTTATTTTATTAACTTACTTTTGGTGTAGAACTTTTGAAGAACTCCGTGTATTTTTTTATTTTCAGACAAAACAAGATTTTCAAATTTTAAAAAGAATAACCGACTGTTCTATATATTTTCGTTTTGACTGAATGAACAGTCATTAATTTTTCTACACAATTTCCAGGATGGACCACATTCCTCGTCTATCTGAGATCCTGTATATTGGTCTATGTCGTAAGATAGGGACACCAACAGAAGTGACTATTAGAAGGAATGTCTGGGACATGTTATACATACTAGATCAAAATAGACATACTTATAAGCACGAATGTATAGGAAGAAGCATTCTCAGCGGTAGTCAGAGGGAGGGATTCAGGTTTGATACATCTGACCAGGATTACATGATGTGGTGTTGTGGATGGAAAGTGATAAAAGACATCTCTCAGTCAAGGGCTTACAATTCATCACTTTGTGATATTATTCTCATGGAGGACACTAATACACCACCTGGCTTTGTTAGACTACAGCTTCTAACAGTGCCAAGGGGTAAATATTTTACAACAGCAATCATTCCTTTCAATGACAGAATTTATATATCAAGTTTTTTATGGAGACAGGTATTCGCTGATGAAATACGTTTCGAAAATGTTACTGAACATGGTCCTTGTTCTAGGTATTACATTGGAGATACTGAAGTTGATAGAGTGTTTTGTTTTGCCAGCAAATATTGGCCAAGTATTACAGAACACTGGATTAAAAGATGCGTTAAACAAATGTGGCCTCCAGCAGCTGTGCTTAAAGATATTTTAAATAACGATATTCACTGTGTGCCTATTGGTAGTAAATGTAATTCTAGTGAAAATGATTTAGAGTGGAGATTGTCCTTTTCTCTTGCCGAACAAAAACTAGTGTTTAACATGAATCATACTCAATTTTTATGTTATGGACTTCTCAAAATATTTCTCAAAGAAGTAATCAATAACAATGTAGAGGAACCATTGCTCTGTTCTTACTTCATGAAGACTACAATGTTCTGGTTAATACAAGTTGGACATTTGAACTGGCGTCCTAACAATCTACTGGAATGCTTTTGGATGTGTTTTAAATATCTCATTCTCTGTGTGTATCGTTGTAAATTTGCCAATTTTTTTATTCCACAGAACAATATGTTTTCATACAAGATTGTCGGAGTAGCACGCGAATCCCTGTTAGAACAACTAAATCAGTATTACAGAATAGGCGTGGCCTGTCTCCTACATAGCCCAACACTCAGGTCAATCCTTGTGCCAGCCCTCAGCCGTCCGTCATTAGTGATCCCCTCTAATAGAGGACATATTCAAGACATTGTAGATATAGATAAAAGTATCATGAATGAAATATTGGATAAATTGGTTATTAAGGAGGGATATTCCTTTACGTATTTAAAATCTGTAGACATGTTACAACACTCGATAATATCTCCATACATGTCTTTGACATTACAGTACTGCAAAGCTAATTATCTTGTTAACACTGCCTTCACGGCTGCATATAGTTCTTTTTATTTGAAAAACAAATACGTTAAATATTTGGATAAAATGCTTTGTAACATGTTGAAATTGTCGTCACGGATAGGAAGTATTTCACATTCTCTTTACTTAGCTTTGTATTACTATAGGACAGGGAGATATTATAAAGCACTTAACATAACTAACTTGACAAAACAAAGACTATCAAAGCCCTATATTTTGTATAAAGGTATTGTAGACAGATACAGATACAGTGAAGATGTAAGTAGTTTATCTTTGTCTAAAAAAATGAACTTCGCCTGGGTAGCTGAGTTGACACTTTATCATAGGATACGCTACATTGAAGAGTTAACATTAGAACAACAAATGGACAAATTAATGAGTGGTAGTGGTTTTAAAGGGTCGTTTTATTCACCATTTGTTATAGTACATATGCTCTCTGTTTTATCGAACTACCGACTTGGTAACAGATTTCGGTATCTGCAATCACTTCAAGACCTCCGCACACTGCTTCTTTATGATGATGGAAGATATATATCACTATTCCAAAGAGACATGTCCTGGCAGATACTAGGAATCTGTCAGCAAGTTGTGGGAGACTTACAAGGGGCTTTGCAATCTTATCAGGAGTCGCTTAGACAGGAACCATTTCACAGAATACAGACAGCAACAAAAGCTAGAATTGACAATATACGACAACAATTGAGTGAAAATATATATGTACATGTATAAAATTGAGATACTGTAGACATCTCAGTTTTATTTACCTGGGACGTTCATAGAGAAAAAAAAACAAAGTGGGTCAAATCATCTGCATAATATATTGCATTAATAAATCAAATAAATGTATTTGGTTATGTTGATGAACTGCCAAGATCAAGTATGTCTTGTTGGATTGCACATATGTACGCTTCTTTCTGTTTCGGGGACTAGGGCATTATGTACATAACATTTTGTTCTCGTCTGATTTTTAAGAATTATATATTCTGTTATTATTGTATTTCATCTCCTTAACAATTATTAATGCTTTATAATTATTCAATCATATGATGAATATTATATAACAGCATTCATTTATTGCAGTGGAAATTTTGTATATTTTGAATTTTTTTAATACAAAATGTGTTCTTTCATGGATTTATTTCAAACGACTATAAAAGTATTCAAAACAAAAAAGATAGAAGAACAAGGCGTGCAGCTTCAAATGTATAAAAATCAAATTCAATTTGTAAACTAAGTAATTAGAGCAAAGTTCAAATTACAGAAAGGTGTGCAATTATGACAACCAAAACTTTTCTGCGGAAAAATTCTCCTGGCAAAAATTAATCTATGGTAAGTTACGAATTTTGCCTCATAAAAGTGTATTTTTAAGGTAGAGGTGGTCATTTCTCCATTTTTTGTTAAGCAAAAAATGTATATCTTTATACTAATTTGAAGATATACTGTCACCAAAATGGACTGAATATCCACTTATGTAGAAAGAATTGTGTTAAAGTATCAAGAAATGGTCATTTTTACCCTCTCTGGTGTGTGCATGCTTTAACATAGGCAAATAATTTTAACATTTGCGAGATTTGCAAATTTTGGAGATTTTACATAAAGAATACATTAATGTTTACTGAAATATTGTGTTACAAATGAGACTTAAGTTGTCGCTTTCTTATTTATCGAACTATAGATTTTTTTAAGCTTGTTTGCCCATCATCTGTATGTTTGTAATTCCTGCTTATTTAAAAAAAAATTTTTTTTAAATGAAATCAACAAGAGGAAGATTTATCTATTAAAAAATTGTAAACAGAAAATAGTCCAACAATAATTACATTTTCAGTGGCGGATCCAGGAATTTTGAAAGGGGGGGGGGCGACCAGTTTGGGGTCGGGGAAGGGGCCCACGGCCACACCCAAAAAATTGAATTATTAAATCTTATGTATATTTTGGGACGTAAAAGGGGGGCCCAGGCCCCCTCCAAATCTTTTTCGTACACTAAATGAATGAAAATTAAAATTATAAGGAATGAAATTAATGGCTACCCAATGTATACGGTATAAAGTGGTTTGGAACAGTTTCGCGGTTTATAGAGCGTAAACTGTCCCAACCCACTTTATACCGTATAAATTGGGTAGCTATTAAATTCATTCCTTAAATAAAATCATCAAATAAAGGCTTTTCCTCTCCTCTAAATCCCTTTATAACATTTTTCTGCTTCCTTCACAAAATTCGTGAAATGAAATGATCAGAAATTTTTTTCCCTGGGAAAAAATGCCTTAGAAAAATTTGTCATCGCGTTATACGGGTTTTCAAATCGTTGAAGAGGTTCGGTATGGAAGTTTGGTAATTTTTTTTCCCATAACCGAATTGAAGACATGTTAATTTGTGCAATTGCAAATTTAAGTTTGATTTCAACGTGTTTATCATAGCCTTCAAAAAGCAAGAATTTGGCGAAAATTAAAACTGAACTTTTCCCTATACAGTACTTTGCAGGGACCTTTTCTTAACAATTCAAACTCGGTCATCTACCGTAAAATCACATATTTTCGTATGGTCCAATTTTCGAGGTTTGAAGAAAACAATATTGGTTCGGGGGGATTTGATTTTGTGGAGGAGGAAATGTTGAGTAGTTATATATATGATTTTTTTTTTTACATTTCGACATGGATATGAATTCGTTGGTCTCTTCATATCTCGAAAACAACGAATATCAAACCCCCCACGAAAATTAGTGATTTCATAATGTTTATTTGAATAAAAACAAGATGTGTTTGTGAAACACTAATGCCCCCGTATGGCAACTTATGGCGAAGGTTAAAGTTTCTTGAACGCAAGTCAAACTCCAGGTCATGAAATCAAAAATGATGGTACGCAAAGAAAGGTCTTGTCTCGAGGAATATATCTGTGAAATATGAAAGTCCTAGTACAAAACGTTTGAAAGTTATGGCGAAGGTAAAAAAAAAAATTAAAGTAAGTAAAACGACAAGGTCAAGGTCAAATGGTGCCCAAGGGAAGTTCTTGTCACAAGTGATACACATGATCGTGAAATGTAAAGGTCCTAGAACCATACATACAAATGTTATGGCCAAAGTTAAAAAATTTTAAAAGTAGATCAAACTTCAAGGTCAATGCCAAAATTGTGGTATCCAAAGGAAGGTCTTATCACAAGGAATATACATGTGAAGTATGAAAGCTATAACACCAATTGTTAAAAATTTATGGCCAAGGTTAAAGTTTTTCAAAAGTAGGTCAAACTTCAAGGCCAAAGGGTCAGAGTTGTTGGTATTTAAGGGAAGGTCTTGTCACAAGGAATGCATTTGTGAAGTTGAAAGACCTAACACCAACTGTTCAAAAGTTATGGCCAAGAATAAAGTTTTTCAAAAGTAGGTCAAACTCCAAGGTCAAGGTCAAAGAATCAAACTTGTTGGTATCTAAAGGAAGAATCTTGTCACAAGGAATGCACATGTGAACTATGAATGGCCTAACACCAACTGTTTAAAAGTTATGGTCAATGTTAAAGTTTTTCAAAAGTAGGTCAAACTCCAGGGTCGAGACCAAAGGGTCAAAGATATTGGTATCCAAGGAAAGTCTTGTCACAATAAATACTCAGGTGAAGGATGAAAGCCCTTCCAACTGTTCAAAAGTTATGGTTAAGTTTTAAGTTTTGTCAAAAGTAGGTCAAACTCCAAGGTCAAAGGGTCAAGGGTCAAAGTTGCTGGTATCTAAAGGAAGGTCTTATCACAAGGAATAAAAAAGTGAAGTTTAAAAACCCAAGCACCAACTGTTCAAAAGTTATGGCCAGGTTAAAGTCTCATAAAAATTTGCAAAAGTGGGTCAAAAGGTCAAATTTGATGTTGGTATCCAAGGGAAGTTCTTGTCACCAGGAATACACTTGTAAACTATGAAAATCCTAGCACTAACTGTTTCAAAGTTATGGCCAAGGTTAACGTTTTACAAAATTAAAGTAGTTCAAACTCTAAGGTCAAGGTCAAATATGATGATGATATCCAAAGGAAGGTCTTGTCACAAGGAATACACATGTGAAGTATCAAGCCCTAGCTCCAACTGTTCAAAAGTTATGGCCAAGGTTAAAGTTTTTTCAAATGTAGGTCAAACTCCAAGGTCAAGGTTAAAGGGTCAAAGTTGTTGGTGTCCGAAGAAAGGTCTTGTCACAAGGAATACACAGCTGAAGTATGAAAGCCCCATCACTAACTGTTCAAAAGTTATCGTCAGTTTTAGTGTTGGGCAAAATTTTGCAAAACTGGGTCAAACTCCAAGGTCAATAGGTCAAATATGATGGGACCCAAAGAAAGGTCTTGTCAGAAGGAATACACATATGAAATATGAAAGCCAGAGCTACAATCAATCAAATGTTATGGGCAAGGTTAAAGTTTATGCGGACAATTAGACAGCTAAACAGACAGACAGGGCAAAAACTATATACCCCCGAATCTTCGATACGGGGGCATAAAAATAGCATAACCTTGTTACATGAACATTTATCATCATAAAAACTTTTTATTTGAAATGAAATATGATGATAACGAACAGTTCTCAAGTTTAAAAATCCACTGGATTAATACAGATTTGGAGCAGAGCAAACACGGACTTCTAAAACATCAGAAATGTACGAAAGCCCAGAAGGCTCATTCGAGATTCGAGTTTCGAAATACGAGATTCGAAATTCGAGTTTCGAGATTCAAGATTCAAGATTCAAACTAACCAATCAAAAGGGGGTTTAAGATTCAATTACTCCCCTTTGCTAAGTTTTGACCTTCTAGAAATCATTGAATATATTCAAACCGAAGAGGTCATTTGATTATATTACAATGCAAGAAAGAGTGTTATATATATCAGAACGAAATTAGAAAAAAATATTGGGTTTTTGGTCTGCAAAATATGCTTAAATTTATTATAACTTCTTAAATATTATAATAGATTTATATCAAGAATATATATACCGTATTATCTACTTTGTTTACAGGTTTGGTGTCAAAATAATAAATATTGTTAATCGGATTCAAAGAGCAAAGGGGGGGGGGCGTATTGTAGTCGATGAGAATTATTAGTGTGCAATAAAAGAAGTGACTAGTGATTATTAAATAATAAATAGTAATACGGGTTTCAAAGTGGATATACATGTAGTTTGTGATAAGGTATTAGAAAGTGACCAGTGACCAAGTTTGTGAAACCAAGAGACAGCCCCTTAAGTACGGATGGCTGAAATATACATGCTTAATAAAAGTAATGATTTCTCTTTGTTCAGGCCCGTAGGAAATAATTTTAAAAAATCACTGTAAAGCCCCCCTCCAAAAAAGTAACAGGGGGTTATCACGGTTATTAGACGTTATTTTTGAATGGACACAAACATAAAGTTGCTATGTTTTCTATAGTATATCATAACGGTAAAAAATATAAGGGGAATGTGTGAGTGTGGAGGGGGGGGGAGGTAGAGACACGTGCCCAGGGTCCTATGGCTATGTTGTTTATTTTATTACAACGGTAGACAAATGTTCGGTTATCAACATTCAGTGTCAATCTTGCAATGCATGGGTAAAATAATTATATATTATAAACCGCTCGGGTCTCGCAAGATACATAACCAATCAATACACAAGTTTCAATACATGATGTAATGGCCGAAAAAAGACAAAAAAAGAAATAAAAGTATTTGATAATGATAAAAAATTAATTATTTTAAAAAAACAATGGACCCTCTATACACCTTTAGGACTTTGAAAAAT